AAGAAAGATGAGGCTTATTTCCCCTGCTCTTTGATCTCTAATGAATTTGAGTCAGTAAATAATATCTGCTAGCTATTCTTGAGTGTATCACATCTCTCAGGAAAACACACTGAAACTTCTATAACAATTTAAGGAGAAAAGTATGCTGAAATTAGCCTTTCATTGTCTGTATTTGACCAGGAAACACAACCTAAAAAAAATTATTTATATTTTAGCAAAGCCAAATTGGTGGCTTTTCAGATAAAAGAAAAAGAGATAATTCAGAGAATTACAGGAAGAAGACACTTGAGCTATTTTTGTAGCTGTCTGTATGTTTATAGACAGAACCATCCAGATGATACTGATCCATATTGATGTGTGACTGTTAAGGTGGAAACAGAAGGTCTTCTTTCATCAGTAGGAAAAACAAGGATAAATTCCACAAACCCTGATACTGTGGGGAGAAGAAATTTTCAGGATCCAGAGCCTTTGGGGTGGTAATGTTTAGTGATTAGGCAGGGTGGAAAACTTTCAAAAGATACTGCAGAAGTCCCATATAAGGGCATCTCAACATCTTTTTTCAGTTGTTTACAACTGATTTTGTGGCAATGTGTTTATAGGGAAAAGAATAAAAAGATTAAGTATTGGGCCCTGGGGAACACTGGGGAAGGTGTTTTGTTTGTATATATATATATAAACTCACAAATGCACACACACATATCCATACACTTACTGACATATGAATGGACATGTTTATGAAAGCAAGTTGGCATTCTCAAACTGCCAAAAAAGAAGTTTGTCACCATAATTGATGGAAATGGAGTGTTTTGGGCCAGGATCAGTAAAAAGTGCCTAAAGAACATGTGAGAGTTGGATTTCAAAAGTGCCTGTGTGTACGATTATATTTGCCTATATATTTTGGTAATTTAAAAGAATACTGGGGACCTACATCCTTTGGGCTGTAGAAAATAACTTTATTTTCTCTTGTCCCAGAAAATCTGCCATTGAATCCAGGTGCAAGAGCAGTAGAGGAGGCCTTGCACTCTTAATACCCAGGCTGGGATGTTTTGTTCTTCTTTGCCCTTAACTGGGAAAGTTGAGCGAATCTCATAGGAATGGCAGAGACCAGCTGCCCATGACTGATTTTTTTGGCTGGTCCTGCCAACTCTTGGTGTGAATTCAGGAAAGGGAACTGCCCTGTTGGCTCTGGAGCTCAAGGGTGGTACAAAAATGATCCAATAATCTTTATGAGCTCTTAGTTCCTTATCACGCTACTCAAGGAACTTGCTGTTTCTGCCTAAGTGAGACTTGCAGCTTTAGGAGGAATAATCCTGTATATCTTGGCAACAGCTCTGGCTTCCCCCGAGGTCTCAGTTATACAAGACCCTGTTGCTTCACTCACAGCATTGCCTGTGCCTGTGGAACAGTGTCAGGGCTTGAGCGGTCTCTGGGCTGCGGTCACTAGATGGCAACATGATCACACACAGAGGCACGTTTCCTGCTCTCTTCCTTGGAAGACACACTGTCTTGTGGAAGGACCCAAGACCGGAAGATTGCATTCAACTTCCTTGACGCCTCAAAGCTTTCTAAGATGGCAGTCGGTGAGTACAGCCTTACAGGAGAGGTGCTGTGTCAGACACAGCATCTGCAAATTACTTCATATTGCTAAATTCTCAGTGTCTTCAAAGGGTCTCATCATCTGCCTTTAGAGAGTTGGAGTGAAAAAAATTCAATTTTATTTTTCTTGGTGATTCTTAACACAATATCGTTAAAACATAACTTTCAACTTTCTGTTTAAGTCTGTTAAGTCTACATGTCTGTTTGCACAGGAGTGCGTTTATAACACAATTTTTATCTTGTGCCTAGATATTTAGAAGATCAGCCCCTTTGGATTCAAGTTTTCTTCTAAGCTGTTGATAGTGCGTTGCTGAATTCTAGCTTAGCTCAGTGGAAAGGCGGACAGCAACCCTGGCACATCTCATTTTCACTTGCAACTCTGCTTTTCTTCCAGAGTTGGAGCATCCTGTTTGCTGGAAGAGCTGCAGTCTCAAGTCCCGCTAAGGGAACATTATGAGTTAGCAATGGCCATTGCTGGTGGAAGAAGTATGAATGCACAGACTGACACAAAATGCCATCACAATTATGCAGAGGTTTCTACAACAGCAAAAAATTTTCATCTGCATTAATCTTGTTCCTGTCCTTTCCCAAGCTGTGGGGTCAGCATATTTAACAACTGCAATGTTCAGAGGTAATGAAATTAATACATTGAGGCTACTGGGATAACTCATGTCTTTTTACATGATTAACATTATTTCTTTGGCTGAAGGCATTGGTGCCTCTGTTTTAAGACGTGTCAGAATATTTATCAATTTTTTGGAGGACTACATACCTTGTAAATACTCTTAGACATGTCTCCACTTTCCGAAATAATCATCAAGGGAATGAACATTCATTAGATCTGTGTTTACAGTAAGTGGATCACAAAATATTGGCAGGGCCTAGACATTTGTGTGCCAGCTGAATTGGAAACTTTTGGTGGCTGAACCTTTCAGAGTGATTGAAGTTAATGGGAGATGATTTCAGGGGCAGCACTCCTGTCTGGGTCTGTTCCCAGCTGTAGAAGCAGTATCTTGCGAAGGTGAATTAGTCACCAAGTACAGATAACTTCTCTGTGCCAATACGCTGCCATCAATCTGAAGTATTTTGTAAAGAAAAATGTCATCTGAATTGTGCAATGAACACAGTGTTTTCTCTCTGCTAAGCTGTTTACCCAAGACCTTTCTGCACCTTCCATGTCCACAAAAGACAAACTTGTCTGCCTGGCCTTCATAGGTACTGTAGGTACAAAACAGTTACTGCTTGCAAACTTAAGCAGGTGCATCATTCCAGGTATGTGAGAAATCTTGCAAGCCAACATTTCCTGGTGCACTGGTCTCAACCAAAGGTATCATCTTCATGTGCAGCCTTACAGAAGGGCTCTTTGCTGGGGACAGACCCCCACAGATCCCCAGCCATCTCACTCGCTCTCTTCCAGTGATGCATTCATCCTCAACTGAGACTTCTGCCACAGCTGCTGAGAAACACAAGGGAGCAGGAGGAAACATAAGGGCATGTGAAGTGCCAAGTCTACCTTCCTCCTTCCAGAAGGATTTCTTACTTCAGTGTTGCTGCAGTGGTGGATTCATTCAAAGACTGTAGTGCTCTTGCTCTCCTGACCAGTGTCCTCTGTTTCACCTTAGAAATGGTTTCCTATACCAGCCATTCTTTGGGAGGAAAAATTACCACCTGTAGTCCAGCTGCTGTAGCTAGTCAATATACTATTATTGCCTGTTCAAGTTATTTGATCTTTTTTTCTTCTGACATCTTCACTCTGATCCACCTTATTTTTCACTCCAGTTAACAATAATAGGAATTAGTAATGGAGAAATGAGCTCTTTACCCCTTATACTTTCTTGTGCCTCCCAGGCACAATACAAACTTGGTAATTCAGTTGGAACCTTGTGCAGAAGGGCAGAGTTAAAACCTGATTCAGAAGTCCCCAATTTTATTTTACTTTATTTTTTAGCATTTCATTATAGCCCCATATGAGTATATGCCTGATAGAAAGCATAAATGCACAGAGCCAGATTTTCCTTGGAGGGCTCTATTCTGCACGAGGTGTTAAACAGCTGCACAACCACAATATCTGCCTGGAGAAATCCCACTGCAATAAATGGAATTACCTGGATGGTGTAAATAAGAGCAGATTCTAGCCTCAAGGCTACTTGCAGTTATTTTGATTTTTATTGCTGGCCAACAGATGAATACTCTTTCCCACAACAGCCTGCCAATAAAATAACACTGTTGTTATGATTCTGGTGTTTTCCTGTCTTAATTAATTGAAATTGTTATTAAAGTTCAGTGGTCATCCAGACAATGCCAAACTATTTGGGAAGCTTTTTTACCTCATCTTAATTGTTGTCAGTGCTGTCCCAGCTATATGCTGTAAATGGAAAAAAGTGTGATACTTTTGGTTCAAATCCCAAACTGACAAAGCTTGTCTGGTGCTCTAAATAATAATTTTTAAAAATCGGGGCTATTTATTCATATATGGGTCTCAGAATTCATCATGTGTGCTGGTGAGGCCTTCTCTTACAGGAAATGCTAACATGTCATCTCTATTTGCTAATTCATCTCTTTTTAGCTGGATTCAAAGCCTGATGATTCTCAGCTGTAAGGAAGTGTCTCTGTGACACAAACTCAATATTTCTGGGTGTTGCATTTATTAGAGGAAATGCTCACTAGACAGAAAAAATGACTGCAGGAGCTTTCCCAAAGTATCCTAGGGGAAAATCTTCAGTATTTTGTGTATTTATTCAGAAGAACACAAGTGAGCACAAAACCCCATTGATTTGTGTTATTCTCTTTTGGTATCAGGTACATGCAGTGTACAGTGTGAAGGAGAGATACATGTATTTAAAGCTGAATGTCCAGGGATAGTTTAGATTGTGCTGATTTTGGTGATATGAGGAACATCCTGGCACCAAATGAGCTTGTTTCAGAAATGTGAACAGGAAGAAAATTGGGCCAGAGGTTTCAGCTGGCTTTTCTTAACCTGTACTTCAGTGTTTGCATGCTTAGGTGTCTTTCCATTAAAATAGCAGGGATGCTCCAAGGTAAGCTAATTTCAAAATGCTGGAGGCTTTGTATTTTTTGGCAATTCTGCATTTCATGGATAATAAGCTTTCCTCAGGCTTTCATTTTTTGGCTGTGAAGGTGATTCATCCAAAAGGGAGCCCTGCTGGTACTGTGTGGAAATCAGCTTCAGAGCTCACTGGCACTGGGCACTTCAGACAAGCTTTTTGTGTGTGAGGAGCTGATCTGCTTATGGCCTGCACAGCTGCTCCCCACTCCCTGTGCTCGTGTAAGAGGGGCACAGGTTTGGTGCTGACAGGCAGCAGGGAATGATGCTGAAGCTGCTGCCTTGCTTTCCCTGACTGGGGACACGACAGTTCCTCTGTCTTTGCAGAGACTATGTGAAGTTGTTCAGTATTTGTAAAGCCATGTGGGGAGGCACATTCCCACCCTCTGCCACGCAGAGGACCATTAAGAGGCTCTCAGTCAGCCTAGGAGTCCTGTGCAGTGTGAGGAGGCTGGGCTATAAAAAGATGTTCAGTTGGAGTGGAGTAGAGTGGGAGAGCAGTGAGGGTTCTGGAGATTGGGCCCTGTATTTGAGATGCAGTCCTGAGATTACCAGGCAGAAGAAGCTGTTCTCTGAAGGGTGAGCAAACTGTTGTTAATTCCACTGGTTGTGTGGGAGCTGATGGAGATGGGTTTGGTGGTGGGCAGTGGTGGGGCTGAGGAGGACATGGTGGATTTTATGCTCTCAGGTACTCCAAGTGAAGCTGTGGTGCTTCTTGGGTAGATGAAACTATTTGCAGGACGTTGTCAGAGTTCTGTGAGTGGCTGTCTGGACATGGGGCAAACTGAGCAGAGACATGGAGTGTGTTGGCTCAGATGCAGGGGTAAGAATAGTTACATATCTTTCAAGAGCAGCTCAATGCCAAAAGTGCTGGCATTGCTGTTAAACAGCTCTTGAGCAGTTAGCTGGAAGAGCTGGTGCTTCTAGAAGTGGGACAACAGGAGAGACAGCCTGATCCTGTGTCACTGGGGCTGAAAATTCTGATTCTGACTGTACTGGACCTGATCTATGTCTATGTAATGTTGCTTTACCTGAGCTATCAGTGATTCCAGTATATGGCTTGGGGTGGGCGTTGTTACAAGGATTAGGAGGCCTGATGGATCTGAGCCAAATCTGAGTGGTCGGTTTGCTTGCTGTGTGCTCCCTGGTGTAGCCCTTATTTTTCATGTTATCTGGAGTATGCTGTTGCAGGGGTTTTGTTAGGGGCGATATCCCTGTCCTTTGTTACTCTTGTTATAAATTATACTCTTTATTGCAGTATGTAACTATAAAGATATACTATTACACAATCTGTCTTCCTACTTTAAAATAGTAACCCTCCACCATGAAGCTGCTTACAGAAAAATCAACTTTGCATGGCAGATCTTTTCCTAAAGAAAGCTCAATTATTTCTAAGATGTGTGTTCTTTTAAAGCTGTCAAGAGCTAGGGTAATATAAAATACATGCAAACAAATGTGTACTCAATTTGATACTTGGGTGTCTGGTTGTGTACTGAAGTAATGCTGTGAAATAAACGCGTGGAAAGGCTAATTGACTTTGACAAGTTAAACATGTTGGATAAAAGCTGATCGGGGCTGTAGAGAGTTCTGGTAATAGCAGAGGGTAGCATTATGAATAATCAGTCTTGTTTCTAGATAGCAGATTCATTGTTAGGCAGAATAAATGATGTTGCTCTCAAATATACTGTTGCTGCACTTTTCTTCATCTCTTTCTCTCTAACACTGATTGAAAGCTCTGGTGAATTTTACTTGACTCCCCCACATGGTAAACATTTGCAATGGTATGAAAGTTATGAGAGAACAATTCTACTTAAAGAAAAGGTTGAAATGATAAATGAATGAATTGACAGGTAGATGAAAATAAGTCTTCTGGTCATCTGAAAAAATTATCTGCTACAAATACAGCTGTAGTGGCTTTTAGCAAATGCCAGACTAATGTGAAAAAATGTATTTGGACTCACTTCTTGCAGCTCTACAAACACACAATGCTCCAGCACTTGGCTTCTTCTTAGCTGAAGGGTAGAGTGTATTATATTCAGAAAGAGGTTGCCAAAGTTTGCAGTCCTTCTAGTTTTCATCGCAAGTTTAGGCTCTTGTCCTTCAATCACATAGGATTTTCCATGTTCTTGTGAACACCTTCAAAGTCATACTTGTAGGAGACCTTAAAACCCTAGACTGCTTCTGTGTCATCCACTTCTTCCACTGCCTGTTGGTGGCAGTCACATCCTGGGGTCCCAGGCTCTGATTGCTTGAGCAAGGAAGGAATTTCCCAGATGTCATGACCAAGCCAAGAAAGTAAGTTAATCTTGCCTCTGTAACAAGTCCCAACCTGTAACAGGAGCTGGGATGACTGAAGTCTGTAGTCCATAGAATTGGAGATGGCAAACATGGAACAGCCTCAGGGAAGAATGTTGGCAGACGGAGGGGAGGCAGGAAGGGAGTTTATACTGGTGCGATTGCTGCTGCTGGAGTTAGTTTAGAAGACATGGTAGTTTTACAGAACCTTTCTACTTCTGCCTTTCTCCCTGGAGAGAGTAAAGTTTTTACTGATCTGTATGATATTGGGATACTGTTTCTACTACAGTTCTGTACATACTTTGGATGATCCTTGGAGTTTACTTTAACTCTTTGGACAGAAGGTGTTAAGAATATTGTCTCTGTTCCAGCTGAGAAGAAGATAGAAATTTTTTACTTCCTTTACTACTCTTTCTTTCTTTCTTTCTTTCTTTCTTTCTTTCTTTCTTTCTTTCTTTCTTTTTCTGTTTTTCTGGCTTTTCTCATGTCTGTTTTCTACTGTCTATGAAGTCTGGCTTGTTTATAATTCTATTTTCCTTAGTGTTTGAGAACAAGACTGGACACAACCAAAATTCCCCGTGGCATCCCCGGAGACATATCCTCCCTGCTCTGTGCTTGTAATCCTTTGTTTATGGTATTTCAGCCAATTCTCGATTAAGGATCATGTGACAGTGTTTTTATTCAAACTGAATGCAATTAATAAGTGTCAAGGCATCATGAAATGCTGTGTGAGTTGTGTGCTAAAAGACAAATGTTCTATATCTAGGCCTTTCCCTTCAGGCACTAATTAGATAATATATGTTTGAAAGGGTTGAGTCTGTCAGTCAAACCATGGATCTGTAAATCCATGTTGAAATTCATATGGCAACACTCATCAAAACACTTAAATGTGTGCTTAAGTTTTTTCTGTGTTCAATCAAGTACATTGGGTCTCCAGGCAGACCCATAGAGATTAATGAGGGAAATGTTTCTCATCTCTATCCACCAGATCTCCATCTTGCTACCAGGAAAACGGAAGCCTTCATTTACCAAGAGCGGAGTCATTCTGAATTTGAAACTTCAATAGATATTTAGTGTTCTTACTTAAAACACGAGAGTTTTTTAAAAAGAGTGCTTAGGAATGCAGTTGCTTTCCTGTCTTCTAGATGTAGTTAAGGTCCTTTATGGCAAGTAATAGAACTCATCATCAAAACCTTATCACTGTCTCCATTTCACATCCAGGACTATTTGTGGCAGTCTTTTCCATTGTCCTCTTAATAGTTCATTTTGAAGTCAGTGTGGTCTTTACTAAATTATAGTACATGGGCTTTTCATTCCTCTGAGCTGGAAAATAAGAAGCCCTAAGACATAGCATGGCCTGTGTCACTCAGACTTCTGACACTGTAAATTTGCAGAGGATTTCTCAGTTCCCAGAAGAATTTGGGCATTTACCAGGGAGCAAAGTATCAAAGGACCTTTGAATATTGCCTGTATGGCAAGGAAAGGACAGCCTTGAGGCATTTAAGAGCAAACCTGTCTCTTCTAGGGGTAGTTAGGCCTGCTGGTGCTCCTGGCTGGCTTGGATAGGCAGTCTCTGACATGGCCGTGTAGATGGTGGGCAGTTTGGTAGGGGTGCCCAGAACATCCTGCTTTTTTGTAGAGGCTGCCCTTTCATTGTTCACAGAACAGTGTCTTCCTGGCTATAATTGCCACCATTTCACTTATATGCTTTTTTTTTTCCTGAAACCTCTTCCTCCAAAAAACTGCAGGCTATAGTCAACCAACATTTTTCAGGAAGGAAAGAGTAAGAAGTAAGAAGTGAAATAGGTTCAAACAGAGTGAAATAAATTTAACTGTCCTAGAGGACCAAAATGGAAATGAGGGCTTGACTGGGACAAAAACTAAGGTTTCCACTTGAGTCAACCAACCACAACGCTTGAAGAAAATTAAGCACCAAGTCCTGAGTGGTTCTGGGAACTGGTATTAAAAATACCAGTTTGAACATGGTGTCCCACATCTGGAACAGCTGTAATGCTATAAGCTAAGCTTATAGAATTGTAACACAACCACTCTGAAATCTTACCACCTGTTCTGTCAGGACTCACATGTTTCTCTAAAAAGGAGAATTAATACATTTAAAGGCAGTGGCCACTACTTGGCCTGCCAACACAGTCTAGGCTACTGTTAGAATGAAGGTAAAGGAATTTGCTTCTGCTTTCCACTCTCAAAGGGTATTGGGGACCAAAAATTTCTAATGGGTAGAACTGAAAGCACGTTTCAGATCTTCTTGCTAGTCCTTTCCAGGGACCGTCTGTACTGCCCCAGGGTGCTAGCATTACAGTCCTGGAAGAATGGATGGTTTAAAGCCTAAGGGAGAGCAGGCTTGCATCTTCCAGAAGTCTTTTACTAAAAACTCTAAGAGGAAAATGTATTCATGTGTTACAGTACTGTGCTGTGACGAAGTCAAAGTGCTGCATGAGAGTTCAAGAAGCCATCTAGTGAGTCCAAAATGTAGTTAAGAAATAAGAGTACCAAGTCCATAGCCATCATTTCAGAATGAGATGACAGGGTGGTCTGAGTTAGATTTCAGTGACCTCCAACACAAATTGAGGGTGGTGACTGGTGGTGTAAAATCTAATGGGTGATTTCACTTCTTGCTTCCTCAGCTAGCTGTTGTATCCTGAGGTGAGGCAGCCGAGTTTCACCCAAGGCATATTTTAGTCAAGGTAAGCCTTTCTGAGAGCTCTGAGCAAGTCCTCAGGGACATACTTGGCTTTGTGGTGTCTGCTAGTGCCCCAGCATGCTCAAATAGATGTTGTTTTGTTCAGTTGAGTGCTGTTAGCAACAAGGCTGGAGGCCAAACTACCAAAACCCTTATGGCTGGGAAATAGGCAGTCAGCTGGCAAAGGCCTATGAGTACGTGCAATTTTTAGCATTGATTGAATCTGCTCAGTTTGGAGGCAGGCCCGTCTCATGTGATGGTGAGTAACCCAATATGATTTTCTGGCAAGTGGCAACTCGATGCCAACATTGTGAATAATCCAGGGCAAAGCAAGGTCAAATGTTCAGGTAACACAGGTGTTCTTAAATTATCCATGGACCAAAAGTAGCTTTTGTGATTTCTCACCTTCTTCCCCTCCCTCTGTTTTTCTGTTGTGTTCATTCAAGATCTCCCAGCTCCCAGGCCTAAGTCCTGGAAACTGAAAGCAGCCTTCTTGATTATGCACAGGTGGAGTATCAAAATAGATTCGAGGCTACCATTCTGTCAAAAACACACTGGGAAAGATCATGGGGTCAGGGCTTAA